AAATCTGCATCACAGATTTCCGTTTTGATATGGGGAGGGGGCATTTTTCCTTGTAATACCCGAAACTGTTTCGACCCTGCGGCCCGGAAGTGACTCGGACGATCCCGAAGTGGCGGCGCGCGCACTGTATCCAGAGCTCATGGAGTTATTCGACAAATTCAACGGAAGTGGTACTTCTAGCACGGGTCCTGGCCCTGGGAAGATCATGCAAAGCGGCTGGCAGAGGACTAGCACGCCAGCGCACAAGTCGTCCTACCAAGTGAGTCAGGTGGAGGTGTCGCGGTGGCATCGATTCAATACCGAGTCGCAGAAATACTGGCACGGCCGGCTGCGCTACCCCGTCGGACAACGTCTTGTCGACGACGAGACTGCACAGGCGCAGTCCTCCGCGCTGCCGAGCGTGACCGGGGCACTTTTCGTCGCCATGGAGCAGCTTGCCTGGAACGCTGATTTTGAGCCGCTTCTGTCTTCATCAAAAATGGCAGCAGCCGAAAATCAACAAGGTGGAAGTGTTGGAGCGACATCTTCGACATCGGAGATGTTGAAGGGAACCAGCTTGTCCTGGTGGGCCAAAACCCCGACGGCCCTGATTGAGTACCTGCACTACCGCCGGCTGTACCGGTTTCGCCTGTCACTGGTCTACTACGACGCAATCCCACCGGAAAGCCCGCTGATGAAGCTTCTCTTTGCTTTCGACGGGGTTTTGACGAAAAAAGAAAAGCCGCGCCTCACTTTTCGAGAGCTGGACGTGGACGGGATGTACGTTGCGCACGGGGCCTTGAAGTTGGAGCTACTGGATGACGCGGCGACGACGGTAGTGCATTGCATCGAGTTTGATCACACGGAAGACGCCCTCTTTCGGACCCTGCCCCACCACTACATTCGGACGCGGTACGCGACGGGCGGCACGGGAGACACCACTGCGATGGAGCACCCGCTGGGGCTGTTTCACGCCACCATGAACCAACTATGATGAGAGTGCACGACTGCTCGTGGCCCCGATACCCCTCATGTGTATGTTGGTGTGAACCAACTGGAATACAAACGCCACCAGCGCTCCTGGAGCCTATGCATGACAAGTTCACGGGCCGAAGGTAGTACTTTTATTTTGGGCTTTCGAAATTTCTCATGCAGTGCCACAGTGCAGCAATTGGAAGTAGTTGGTATGCGGTTTTGCAGCACCTGCATGAAAGGGAGAGGGGAGCAAGCAGTTATGCGGTCTCTTCATACCAACTGGGCGCCGCATTGGAAGACTGGATTCATGTGTCCGGCTCCATGTTCTACACGTTTGGCCAGTGGAACTGCTTTCAGCAGGCCTACGTCTTCCTCGCACTTCTCGTCATGGAGCTGCCGGCGGGGGGCACCACACCCGATCATTATCGCAGCAATCCGCTCGATGCGGTGCGCGAAGAAAACGCGGCCGCCCGCGAACGGCTTGAGGCAGCATTTACGGGGCCGCGACGCGCAGCCAGCGGAAACAAGCTGGTGGGGCACGTCGAGGACGTAAATGTTGATCTGGCCCGGCCGCCGCAAGAAGCGTTCGACGTTGCGCGCAGCGTCCTCCACCGGATGCGAGAGCTCACCGGGGAAAAACGACTTCCGCGGGATGGGGTCGAGCAAGCAGGTGTGAACGAGGACCTGGGACTGATGCAAGAATTCGCTGACGCCTACCCGAAGCACCTGCGGGGGAGCGACAACGACCTACCAGAGGACCTGGCGATCGTGGTCAACGCGCTGACCCATTTTTATCCGGCTGACGGGGACGAGGTGATTCACTGGACCTCCTACGGGGATGCCGCAGAACCCGAGTGGTTCTGGAAGGGTCCTGCCCGAGGAACATCTCGAACGCTGCCGGACGGGGAGACGGTGCCACACCTGGACCGCAGCTTGATTCAAAAATTCCTCGCGGCCTACCCCAAACATCTCTGGGAGCACGCTCGCTGGGACTCGAATTATACCACTTTAGAGAACCGACCGCAGATTCCCTTCGGTGGCTGGCCCGAACCCTGGAAGAACCGGCTGCGGATGGTGCAGCTGCCCTTCCTGGACCGTTTATTGTGAGGAAAAATAGTACCCCCTGCTCGTGCTCCCTACAGTACTGAAAGGGTATCCTTCTGAAAATTTGTGATACTGATTTGTGATCACAAACCCTGTTGCGAGATGGCAAATGCAAATCCAAAAAATTAGCCGTAATGCTGTTCTTGCGCCTTTATCTACTTACATGGCTTGCCAGGCCTCTGCTATGCTATGTGCCTACACGACCAGAATACTAGCCTTATCCCGCTTCCCGTGTCCAGTAGCCTGCAGACTTAATAGTATTCCGCTAGATGAATAATAGCCCTCAGCGTTTCTCTGTGGAAA